TCCAGTGCTTCCAGGTCTTGCATGGTGGTCTAGCTTAAACTGACTCATGATTTTAATCTGTGAAATTATTGCATTAATTAAAAGAAGGAATATCTTATGTGTTTGTTAGTGCGCCCATTGTAACGCAATTTTATGTTTCGAATCAGTAATATGGGAAAAATGTCAAAATGTACAAACTAATTGAATTATTAACCATCGCTTGCGATTCACTGACTAAAAACGTGGTTCATCAGCCCACTTTTTTTCTGAAGCTTAGTTAATTGTTGAAAATTTCAAGTTCATTTGTTATTAATGTAGTTATCAGAAAAGTGTTTTATGGATGTTATAGTAGTTTAATAGTTGAGTTCATGAGTCAGTTGAAGCTATATCACTATGTAAAACCTGGTAGCACTGGACGGCCTTTTCGTTCCGGGAAGGGACACCTCAGCAGTGAGCATTTCACGTTCCCGCCCCACGGGATTCGAAACCAGAACCTATCGGTCTCGCGTGCAAGCGCTTAACTTCTAGACCACTGAGACAGTCTGCATCCAACGGTGTTGGTGTCCAACTTCAACCTATACCCGACATTGCGCCACCATCGTCTTCAGTGATTTAATATCTCACAACAGACCCAATAGAACTCCACTGGTCACTGCTTCTCACTAGAACTTCAAGAAATACCTCTTGAAGCTAGTCATCGAAAGATCCTGAGTTTGGATCCTGCTGGTCAGGATCGTGGGTACGCACTGCTGAGGAGTCCTACATTGGGACGAGACGGCCGTACAGTGCTTCCAAGTTTTCCATGGTGGTTTAGCTTCAATTAAATCATGTACTCAACTATTAAACAATGTAATTACTTTTAAAGCCACGGCTATTTACTCCATTCCGAAAACCGTCCCTACTAATTAATGCCCGAAAACTAGCTCTTCATCTCTCCTTCCCTGAGCTAACCCTTGGCATTCATTTTCATGTAATCGAAATACTAAATGTAAATCCATGATTTCAGTTGTGTGAAGTCTAATGAAAATAATTAGCTTTTCATACAGCGATGAATTTACATCAAGAATACCTTAAAGTTTGAGATAATCAGTGTGTGGGTGATTGTAGTAAGTCATAGTCATACCAGAAAAAATGCACCTGGTATTTGAGATGGATGAAGTTATCTGGTGGAATATCATGAAAATTACCTGAAAAATCCTCCCTATCACCTGATATGAATAATCTTAAACAGATTATTTCTATCAAAAGGAAATTAAATAGTTTCCATTTAACAAGCAATATCACCTTGAAGAGAGCAAGAACAAAGATTTAAATTCACTTTATTTCACTTGGTTCTCATCTACTGCTTACAACCTGCAATATTTAAAAATGAGTTTAAATTACTTACATGAAAAGATTTAATTAGAAGTTGCTATGACCACATATCAGTGTAATATAGCCAGAGTGATAGACTGAATAAAATATTTTAAATATATATCTCATTTGAGAGGAATATCTGCAACACTGATAATAACAAAAGTCCAAAGGACTAGGATCAAGTGGTTATGTGTTATGCTTATGTCAAAGGGATGTTTAGTGATTGCACCATTTAAAACAGTACTTTCTCTTATTCAAAGGATTTTTGATATATGATCAAAGAAACTAGGATGTGCTCCTTTCTGTTCAGCCATTGCAGTTAGCTTGTCAGGTACATTTAAATTTATAGATACAGTTGCGGTAACATGAAAACGCACTTGTTGACTTTAAATTGGGTTATTAAAAGTGTTTTATACAGAATCAACAGTTTGTTTGCAGAATAGGTTCTGGCTAATGCATTGTTAATCTTTCCGCCTCTTGATGTCATCACCTTTGAAGCTGAGACTCGTAGATCTTGGTTTTTCATTGACCGTAGGTTCTTACGTTGTTTTACCTTCCGCTTTCTTACATTTATCAGTGAATTTACAGGGGTAACAGTTGTCTCCTTTTTTCATCAATTCTTCTCCCAGTTTGTCAGCGGTACATATCCTTTCTACTCTATAAAATAGTGTTTTGGCCAGTGCTCTCTTGAAACTGATTGGAAAAAAATTGTTGAAGTCCAAGAAAAGACCATTCCAAGTACTTTTTCAATAGATTGAACATTGAACTGTCTCATCTTTTCCCTGTTTTATGGCAGCGTTAATTATGATATGTCATTCTTTTCGTGTTCGATAGTAAATTGTGTGTTGGGATAAGTTTTATTGAAGAGTTCTAGCAGGTAGATTGTGTGCTATTTACTGTTCCAAACAATAAACGTATAATCAACATGTCTAAAGTATTCCGTAATTTCATCAGTCGCTTGTTTAACCCCCATGTATTCAATATTACCCACAAAAATATGTGGCGTAACTGAACCTAGTAGGCTTGCGATTACTATCCCACCAATTTGCCAGCATATAGTGTAATTGAACTGAAAATGAACTTGTTTTTTGAACATAAGTAGCAGTTGTTTAAATCCTGGAAGATAAATAAGGAAGATTAGAACACTGACGAAAAACGTCATTGATTTCAAGAGGTGATATTTCAGTGAACGAGGTTGTTAAATTTAAAGAAACCACAGAGCTATCAAAAACATTCATATGTTTTAATCTGTCAGCAAATTCGAATGAATCTCGAGAGTAAATAAGGATGTTTAGAGGCTAAACCGAATCAAAACATTTGTCCACCCATCCACAAATCTATATGTCCTTTATAAAACTAAGCCCACAATAGTGTCTTGTCTTTTAGAAATGGAATTCATTTCTTGGCCAATCGCGTCCCTTATCATGTGGCCCAAAGTTTAACTCGTTATTTTGGCATGCCAATAGTTACTCAAAATTGATGATGTTAGTTTTCGGAATACAGTTCATTGATTTAAAAGTTCGAGGTGAAACATTTAGAGTTCATATGTTATATAAACATAAACCACTGTAGAAACCGAGATTGTAATAATCATCTTATGACTCAAACGATTACATAATTTGCTTTCAATAAAATTAAATAATATTGCTTTGTATTAGAATGAATGAATAATGTGAAAAATGAAACTAATACCTTCTGGATAGAATTTCACAGACATGTTTCAACGTATTTTGCTCCATCCTATATGAATAGAAAAATCTTTGAGTTAAAACAAAATAGAATAACGAAGGAACGAATCAAGCGGAGAAATTTCGCTTCAGTTAGTTTTTTATCATGGCTCTACACTTATATATATATATATATATATATATATATATATATATATATATATATATATATATATATTGAAGTAATAATCAGAAAGAGGTTTTGTGGATATTATAGTAATTTAATGGTTGAACTCATGAGTGATTGAAGATAGACCACCATTGAAAACCTGGAAGTACTTAACGGGCGTCTCGTCATTGTATGGGACTCCTCAGCAGTGCACATACACAACCCAGGGCCTTCAGTCTCGCGCGCGAACGCTTAACCTCCAAACCACTCAGCCTGTATCCAACGGTGTTAATGTCTAACTTCAACCAATCCACGAAATTACGCTACAGTCCACCAGTGTCTTCAGTGATTTACTATTCCACAAGAGATTCGATTGAACTCCAGTGAACTCCACTTTTGAGGAGTTCCATACTAGTGTAATGTCGGTTACTATGTTAAGTCCATTTAACTTATTCTACCTTCCGGACAGGCCAATTTATCCATTCTTCTTGAGTCACATTTTGACCTTGATAATTACTTACTTATCAACCTTGATTGTTTTTATATGAGTGCATGGGTGTGTACATCTTATCTTATCAAATATCTGTAGCTTATTTTTGTATCACTATAAATATGGGTTAACGCCTGATTAAATGAATTTGGCTCATACGCCTTCTCCACTGTGCGTCATTTCGCTTCTCTTCCTTCGCTCCGTCCCTGTGATTGCCTGTCCAGATCAATGATTGTACAAAATATACGTGTTCAAAAATCCATTCTAGTATTTGACTTATTTAATTCCGTAATTCACCAACGCAAATTAAGTCGATAATTATATACGATAATTGGTGACATATGTATTTCGACATGTATATCTCATTCACGATCAATCATATGATCAAACTGGAGTCAGATCCCGGGCCACTAAACTAGAACGAAACAAGCTTTCAGTGCTTATAGGTCTTCAAAGGTGGTCTATCGTCGATCGGCTCATGAATTCAACTATTAAATTGCTATAATATCCACGAAACCCCTTTCTGATTATTATTGCATTATTGTAAATCATATATATTAGTGTAGAGCCATGATGAGCGGAATCTCTTCGCTCAATTTATTCCTTCATTATTTATCAAATGTCTGAGTGGGAATTTTCAAAATAGAATAAAACGGTTATTTGATTATTTCTATTATTGATGACTATTTCTAATAAACAACATTTGACAACTGGTTAATTTTTTCATGAAACATGTGACATGATATAATTGATGTTAGATATTTGATGGTAAGTGTCTATTGTTATTATTATAATCAGAGAGAGGTTCCGTGGATATTATAGTAATTTAATATCACTATAGGGTTAAGAAGATTATTAAGTTTTTGACTGAGATCATGAACCGATTGATGTTAGACCACCATTGAAAACCTGAAAGCACTGAACGGCCGTTCCGTCCTATTATGGGACTCCTCATCAGGGTGAGTTCATGATCCCACCTCACAAGATTCGAATTGGTTGAAGTTAGACATTAACACCGTTGGATGCTGGCTAAATCAGTGGTTTGGAGGTTAAACGTTCACGAGCAAGACTGATAGATCCTGGGTTCAAATCTCGCTAGATAGGATCATAGATTTCACTAATTGCTAAACCAATATTTATATCAAAAAACTATTATTATTAGAATTATTAAAGTTAACTTGTTTTATTTGAACAAAGAACCTTCTTCTATCTATCAATTGATATCTTGTAATAAACAGACCAATAAGAATAGAAGATTATCATATAATTATTGATCAATGATTTGAATTACAAATCAAAATTCAATATCTAATTTCTTAATTTTGATTGGTTTAAATAAACATAACATGATTGCATAATCACTTTGTATATAAATATATGTATATTCATTTCTAATGACTAAATTGCTTGAACAAACAAAATTGAAGTATTCTGTTGTAGGTCTTTGTATAGGTAAATGAATGTTTATATTAAAATATAAAATTATAATTGTTTATCGTTTAGTTATTTATTTGGGTAATTTACATGAAACATTCAAATTTATTAACTATAATCTTTCATTGAAGTAGAAAGTTACTAATTTCAGTAGTAATTTAGATAGGTACTATAAGTTCATCTCGGATATATTCAGATATTAATCAAAGGAATACTTTCTATCTTTACTTAGATCAATTTAGGACCAGTTGATAATCATTTAAGATATTCAACGGTATTCTGGATCAAAACACTGTAGACATGTTTTAGTTGTAAATTAAATCCTGGATCCGTGTTTCGTGCTACTTGGCACTCATCAGTAAGGTGTACCTGTAATCTTGAGGTAACTGGTACTCCCTGACGGACAGGACACATAACATTGATCACCACCCAGTGATCAATCGATTGTGATTAAATTTCTTCAGTGTTTGTATGAATCATCTAATAAGCTAGATTTGAGAAACCCAACTTATCCTTGTAATCATTAAACCATCATTAAAACTTACTATTGAACTGATTTCTTAATATAGTTTAGATCATAACTTTACAATATAACCTCTATGATTATGATTAGCTGTTTTAAAATTTTATTTTCACCACACATTCTATTCTTGATATATTTATTTAATCATAAACAGAAATCCACTACAGTTGAATTTAACGAAATATGGCTGGAAATTTAGGATTTAATGTTGGATCATGTGGTTCACAAGTAATTTGATGTATATCTTAATTGATGTTATTTTTATTAGAATCATAGCTTATCATTTCACTTAGTATTATTTGACATGTATATTCCCATTGAGGTTTAAGACTGTAATTGATCAGTCTGTTAATGGCATATGTGCATACTGTGCGTATGCTTCGATATTGCCGTAATTCACAAGCTTTTTATAAGGAATGATGGATAATGGCTAGCAGTGGAATAGGATGAAACGCGCGTCCTGGATTCCACTGCTAGCCACTATCCATCATTGCTTACAAAAAACATACCTTATCATGTTCATTGCTAATTAGTTTGTTGACTTCATCATTTTTTTTAAAATCTTGTTGAACCATTTCTCTGAAATCTGACTTTCAATTCACTAACATACTGATGTGTAACTCATTTGTTGATAGGTGATCTTCATCTCAGATTGATTTCATTTAAGATATCATTGAAAACCAAAGAATACTGGACAGTTGTTTCACACTGTTTCAGGATTTTTCAATAGTGTGCAACTGCCATTTCACTAAGGCTCTCTCAATGAACGCCTAACCGCTAGGATCACGGGTTCAAGTCCCAAAAATAAAACTTTTGCCGCTAATGATTTGCGACACAGTGTGATGATCATTTAGCTCAATTGGTGATGACTGTTTCACCTTTTACATGTTTGAATATCTGTCAATCATGACTTCTAACTGGAACTACAGAAATATATCGGAGTAAATCACTAGTGAATTGACCAATACATGTTTAAGTATAACTTATTCATCAAGAGTTAGGTTATACACCCAGCTTTGAACGACACAATCTGTCTGAAGGTTATGGATAGGATCCTACTTATAAAAATGAGCTAGATGGGATGGAGTTAAAACCTCGATCCCAGCAGTGAAAATACAAACACACTGGTCATTATATCATTGTTATACCTTTTATTTATCATCTTTATTAGCTCTGATCAACATCATGGATTTATAGAAGAATCTTTCGAGATATGGGTTTTTGTAGATATCTAGGGGTTTATCTGAATGATCTTGTTATTGAGTGAATGGCTACTAATAATGTTTTATGTCGATAAAAAATATGGTAGTATTAAGAATACATGATTATTAGCTGATGTTTAGTGTTTTTTTGTGCCAGGTTAACGTTTAATATACCTGTGAATTGACCTTAAGTTATGATCTTAACAATGTTGATTTAAAATACAAAATATTCCAATCGATACGAAATTTATCGAAATGTTAATGTGATTGAATGAAATCATGACAGACGTTTGAAACGAACGGTACTTGGTTCGAGTGCCAAAGTGCACATCAACTCTGAGATGCAGGTACATCGAGCTGATGAGTTTTAAATAGGACGAAACTAGCGTCCTGGATTTCACTGCTAGTCACTATTCATCTTTACCTATAAACAACTAATCAATTCTTACATTTAGGGATTCATATATTTTATAATTATCGTAAACAACACCAGATATGTAGTTTTCTCTTTTACAATATCATTTGGTCCAACCAAAAAACGTTCCAGTAGTTGCAACTATCTAACTGATCTCCGGTACAACTATAATGATGCTTATTTTATAAGCACGAATAAATATGTCTACAATCTATGACAGTTCTATGCTATATCTCATACTTTAATCTATACCATTAACTCCCAGTATCATACATATATACTACTTCTATGATAAAGTATTACATTCATATATTTTGTATACTATAATTGGTTATAAATCAGTCATATGGAGAAGCGAAGTAAAAATCCAAATATAAATTTTGTTTCATAGTTCCGCATCTCACAAAGTTTCTGTATGAGCATCAATACTGGGATGCAGATATATTCAAATGTCAAGTCTCAGATCGTACAAAACACTGCTAGTCACTATCCAGTTCTGCTTGAAATAAATAATTCCTAAAAGGTCTCATGATATATTGTATATTAGCTTCATATGTGTAGATCAGTTGAAACTTGTTTTTTTTGTTACAAATCAGTGTATTGGGGAAATATTGAGAAATATCTTGTACTTAACATCTGTTTCTTTTATTTTTTGGACTTCGCAACAGTACTGACTCTTGATCTAACAAAGGATTGAATACAGTAGCTTCAGGCCCTATGACTAATATGGGATATTTCATACCACTAAGTTGATATCTAGTCATCCAAATTGTCTTAATGTTTCTTACTTTTCTTTGTTTTGTTTAATTACTTTTAGTTACATCCAACTGTAATGCCTGCATCGAATTTCAATCCAGAAAATGATTGTGAACGCTTAAGAAATGCTATGGCAGGATTAGGGACAAAAGAAAAAGAATTAATTGAAGTATTTAGTAATCGTTCTGCAGATCAACGTGCAGTTCTTGTAAAAAAATATAAATCAATGTTTGGAAAAGATTTAATTGAAAATTTCAAATCTGAACTTAGCGGACACTTTTATGATACTATGGAAGCATTGTGTTTAAGTTCATATGAATTCGATGCCCGTGAATTATACAGAGCAATGAAAGGAGCTGGTACAAATGAATCTATATTGATTGAGATTCTATGTACTCGAACAAATTATCAGTTGAAGAAGATAAAAGAAGCTTATAAACGTAAGTAAAATATAAAATCTTGATAATATCTCACTGAAAAATTCCGCTGTTTTATTGTTTTTTTAAAGTTGAACTTTGTAATATTTCCATTTGTCTCAAAGTGCTCGGATAATTGGCCAGCATTATCATACGCTTCCTGTTAATTGTCTCGCAATATTGAATACAATATTCTATCATACTTGAAATATCAAATCGATTAAATCAATACCCATACTACATAGATTTTTTTTGGTGGATTCTGATTATTGCCCAGGACTTGTCAATAGCACTAAATAAACCCGACCAAAATTTAAATAGCAGTTACGAATGTAACGTATGGTTATATGGTGTCTAATCTTCTAAAGAATATGAGTTTCTTCAAAGAAACGGATACACCTTACTGATAACTCTTAACATGCAAGAAATCTATATATACGACTCTTTACAAATTACCTCCAAGTACCTTACGTCTTACAGTCTTTCAATAAAGAACTGTACAACTCTTTTAGCTAATTTTGTGGTTCTTAGAATGAACCACATAAAATAAGATTAAAATCGGTAAATGCAGTGAGAATCAGTATAGAGATTTACGGAGATTACTCAATTCTTTTGATACCGTGAACTGTTTTAAGTTAGATAACCATTGAAAACCTGAAAGGATTGGTTGACCGTTTCACTTAAGTATACGACTACTCAACATCACCTATTCAAAACTCTAGTGGAAGCCAGAATATGGGAGTCTAGCCTCATACATGAAGAATTAATCATCAAATCACTTAGGCAACGTCCAGTGGTGTGCATGTATGAGGCAGTTATCCACCGAAGACAATCGGAGATGATCACCCAATATCGCCAGCTGAATAAAATCAAACATACGCACCAACCGGTTCTAGCTCACTGCCCGAACTCGAATCTAGAGGTCCTAGGTTCGATCCTCTTTGTGGAGTCGTAGATGTTCACTGTATACTAGTACCATACCAAGACAAAACAGCTATATATATAATTGCCACTGCATAGAGTCAGATGTTGTCATGAATACAAAGTGAAATAACTTTTGTACTTGTTTATAACAAGTTTCATTAGAATAATATCTATCTTTTTCTTCATAAAATGAATTCAATCAATTCACCACTTTTTTAAATACCAAAGTCAATATTATGTCTTATCTATTCACATGAAACTCCATACTGTTTTTTTTCAACATCTAATTACGGTTGTAATTGAGAAAGTATGTAAGTTTATATCTCTCTATGAATTTACTTGGTAAATATTGGCGGTTTCTAAGAAAAAAATATATATATATACGTATGTCTAGTTTGGTGTGCTGATAAAGGAATAACTTAAACAGTGATATACTTATCTATTAAATGACAATGTAATGTTGATAGTCAAAGGCATGTTTGAGTCGCACAAAAAACATTTATTTATTTATTGAACATTAAGAAATATTCTGAAAACTGTTACGTAATGTTTTGTATAATGTTCCTCTGGAATAAATACTTAGTTATTTCTAAATTCCACTGAATTTCATAATCTATTGGTTATCAACAAATACTAATGACGAATACGTGATTAGAAAAAAAACCGTTTCTTTTTGGAGCTGTCATTCAGTTTATTTGTTAAGATAAGTGTTATCAGCATAAAGCATTGAAAATAGGTTAATTCCTTGAAATGTAATCTAAGAGAAGGTGATGAACACCTACTACCTTTTAAGCTTACTTACTTACTTAGTTAGTGACGGTTGGTCCTTCTCGTGGAGGTGTATAGGTCACCAACCAGCATTCTACATCGAACTGGGTCTTGAGCAATCCTTTCCAGGTGTTTCCAGTTGTTAATCAATCTTTTAAAGTCTGTTTCCAATTCCCGGTGCAGTGTTTTTCTTGGTCTTCTACTGTTCCGTTTCCCATCAGGATTCCAAGTTAGCGTTTACTTCGTGATTCAGTTTGTTGATTTCTGTAATGTGTGTCCTCTCCACCTCCATTGTCTTTTCCTAAGTTCCTCCTCAGCTGGAACCTGGTTTGTTCTCTCCCACAGTAGGCTGTTGCTGATGATGTATGGTCAACAGACAGTATATTTCGTGGGTAATTGTTTATAAATACTTGTACATTTTTGATGATGGTCGTGGCAGTTCTCGAAATTTCAGCTCCGTACAGTAGAACTCACTATCGTCACGTTCGTATTAAAGATTCTGACTTTGGTGTTGGCTGACAGTAGAAAACAACCTTGCCAAAAAAACTAACCTGTTATGTTACCAGTCAAAATAGGGCAATGAGGGAAAACTGCTGTCTCTGGTTTCCTTAGGATTTCAATAACGACTATATGTCTCATGTGTAAATAAGCATCTTCATTCCAATTGCTTGTAAACGGAGCGTAACTCTGAATAATTTAAAAATTAGATCTACTCAATGAACTATTACATTTGAGTAGAGTGGTTGTAATGAATGTTTAACATTTTACTTATTTTTATAATCGTTGATTTACTCCTTATATAAACAATCAGGACCCATTCCTAATGGTTTGTCTTTGCCAGTTGTTCATGTTAAAGACTGTCCCAGTTGACATATGGGTGTGAACAGCTATGGATTACAATTATTACAACAACCCTAACTATACAATCGAAATAGCGATTTATTGGCTCATGGAAGAATACCATGTGGAGTGAGATCTCATTCAAATTAAAGGTGTTGAGAGTGTTAAATCCTCAAATATCAGATTTAGTCATTGTTGAAGTGAACTATGTTCATCGGCTTTAAATGTGTTCTCATTAATATCGAAGTGATTTTATCTTGTTTTTAGTTTATCTTTATTTTATAAATTAATACACTGCGATTTTATGTCCAAGTGACGATGGATTAGTTCAATACATTTCATAATTATTAATCTTTGAGATTAAACGATATACAATTCTTCTGGGATCTTGACCAATAAATCCTCATTTAAAACTTCTCTCCTCTATAAACCATCCTTTAGGGAGAAGGTATCTGTTGAAATGTTGTGTATTATTCATCCGATCTATTCGATAGATACACTTCGTTAGTAATAAAGGAATTTCTCAAACGTTCATAGAACAGAACTATAATGAACTAAATCAATTTACAACAAAATATGGTACAATCTAGTACAGGATTCTCAAAGTCTTATAATTATAACACATTAAACGATGATATTGAATTTACAAAAAAACCCAGAAACATACTCACTTATGTAATAGGTACAATTAATTACATTTTTTCCTAATAATAAGGGTTTCCCAATTTACTTCATTCATTGTAGTATTCACTGGACATAATCTTGAAAATGATGTAAGTGGTGATACATCTGGAGATTTTAAACATTTATGTATTGCATTATTACAAGCAAACAGAGATGAATCCATACATGTTGATCAACAACTTGCACGTAAAGATGCTGAAGCCCTGTATCAAGCAGGTGAAAAAAAATGGGGAACTGATGAATCAAAGTGAGTGTGAACTATTTAATATAGTTCAGTTTTATATAATGAAATCATTCACAACTATAAATAATTTTAACTATTTGGGTGAGTTTATCTATTCATGACTTCATTAAGCTGTTTAATTTAAGCATAGCATAAATTAGAGAATATGTTGATTACTACTACATGTAACATGTCTAAGATCTAAATTCATTTTGTATTGTTTGTTTGAATCTTTCCATTGATGTTTAGGACTGCAAGAGATTAGTCCCAAATAGAACGAAACACGAACCTCTGGCTGTATATAAATAGATTTCATCTATTGTTCCATCGATACTTAAAGTTATCTTTAATATTTATTTATTAGCCTTTTAAAACTTTAAGTCACTAAACAACTTTTGTATTAAGTACATGTCTGTGTACTCGCTTCTGAGCCACACTCCAGTTGTTTGAGAGGTATTGGACTGGATAAAGTAAATCAAGTGGAACGAGGGTGACGTTTTTGGTGGAGTTTCGTTCTCTGAGCTGGATGGTTTGGTCGTGGGGCTTTCATCGTTCTTCTGAACGACATCATCAGCACAAACTTCTATCATCCACCTGAACTACAAATCTTCTCCACCATCTCAAGGGTGAAGTTTACAACTTATTGGGTGGAGATTTAGTATCTTCTAACTACTAACTTATCACCAACAAACTAGAAACTGGTATTTTTACAGGTCTAATCATCTTATCATATCTAAAACAGTTAATTATTGATTCCGGAATATTTTCCCGTTTGTAAATCAATTGACTTTATAAGCCTTTGCTTCCAAATAGTGAGGCCAAACATTTTTGACTTATTGGTTGAAACAATCGATTTTCAAACATTTGTTTAAAGAGTTGTACCCTATTCTAGCTAAAAATTTGTGGATCCGAATGATATCACCGCTTTTTCAACAGAAATTAAATCTGAAATTAAATACGTATAACCTGTGAATTGAAAGATATAGAAAGACGTTTCTTCATCATATATTTGAATTGTCAGGGATCAGTTGTAGATGCAATTTTATAAACAACGTCAGTTTTTGTGAACATATGATTATTGAAATGTATTTCAAGTACTTGAGGTGGATCCTACCTCAGTAATTTAGAAGGTAAGCAAATTCTACAGTACCGAAGGTCTTGTGTTTGAATTCTGAGGTGATGGACACACATTACTGAGTAATCTCATGCTAGGGCGAAGTAGCTGTCCAAGTCCTACTGGTTTTCAGTGGTTGTCTAAGATTACTCCCTGATGTGTTTAGGTTTAAAGTGTGTTACGTTTTCTACTTATCTATAGTCTTCGGGTGATATTCGTTATGAATTAAAGCAATTTTATTTACTTTTGATCATTTTGTAAATAATAGATTTATTCAAGTTTTTGCTACACGATCTCCTGAACATTTAAAAGCCGTATGTCGAGAATACAGTAATTTTAGTAAGAAAACTTTGGAAGAAGCTTTGAAATCTGAAATTTCAGGAAGTTTACTACAGTGTCTTTTGACCATTCGTATGTCACTGTTTTATTCATTTTGTTATTCATATAATTAAAGTCACAATAATAATACGTTTAACATGTCGTTTTTAGCCCACAATTTACAGTCAGTTACCACTAAGATATGTCAGATTCACTTTTACAAATTATGTCTGTCAAAGATAATATAACATCGTTTTCATCACAAACTTAACTTAGTTGAACAATCATTGAAATCCAGGTAGCACTGGATTTTGTCCCTTTTTTCATCATAAGTCCGTACTGTAGAAGAGTGTAATACTAGAATGTAATAGTTGTCTAATGCTTCCTGGTTTTGAGTGGTTATCATTTCATAAGTTAAACTATAAAAATTAACAAATACTAAATGAGATGTCATAGTCGTGAACATTTTAACTTGTTTCTCGTCTAGTACTTCTATTTATGTAAAGTTACTGATGAGCAAAGTTTTATTTCGAATAAAAGATAAAATTTTCAGATCAGAATTACAACGTCAGTTGTTTAGCTGTGATACTTTATCATCAGCAAAACTAATACATATTTACCTGAAATATCTCTTATTCTAGAGTATGTATTTGTAACAGGTAATATAATCATATATCTGACACGTTTTATATCAGTTAATCATAGATAATAAGGGTTATCACTTAAAGCATCAAACTATTCATTGTTTACTAATCTATTTCATGTTTGGAAATGTGTTGTTATGGGAATCTGTTAAATAATTGATCAGAAAAAAAATAATATAGCTCAGTGACTTGAGGACTCTTAGATTTAGGCCTCAACTAAAATGTTAATGCTGAAATTTGATAAATAAGATTAAATATACTTTCTGATTACTCTACCAATTATTAAGATGTACATAAGGAAGAAATTAGTATATCTGATATTAAGATATTCAATTACAATGGAGATTGGAGAGTTGGATTAAACTCACTTATTGTACATTGGTCAGGATCGCGTTATATATACTAGTTTTTACAATTGTCAGTTTCTTAGATTTGGTGAAATCTAGATTTATGGAGATTATGGTACTTTCACAGTTGAATTCACGAGTCAATCTAATGCTATCACTTTTGCAGTGGTGGTTTAGCTTAGATTGACTCGTGAATTCAACTGTTAAAATACTACATTCTTCATAAATCTCTATCCTGATATTATTCATATGTTCACTAGTGACTAGCTTCGAGATGGATTCCATGGAGTTCAATCCATGTTGGGTGGATACACGGATTGCGCAATCTATCTAAGTTATACACTAAAGCCGTTGGATCCCGGTTCACTGGTCTAGAGGTTGGGCGTTCGCTTGCGAAGCTGAAAGTACTGGGTTTGAGACCTGCATATTGGATTGCAAATGCAAACTGCTGAGAAGTCCGATACTAGGAAAAAACGGTTATCCAATCATGGTTTAGCTTAGATTAACTCATGAACTCAACTATTAAGATCCAGATTTTTAGACCGATAGTCATTTTACTAGATATTCAAATTCAGAGGATAAAATATAGAATGAACGAACAATATGGTGGGGCAAAATTTTAATTGATTGAAGAATGGGTAACATGTAAAATCGATTTCCTCTAATTGTTTATGACATTTGGTTAAAAACATGGTCAATAAATTAGTTACATTTTTGTCACCATAACAGCTTAATTTTATGATATTGTAAATCATGTTAATACATTTCATTATTGATTAATTCATACCTGGTGCTTCCAAATTTAATTTATTGGATAAATAAAAATGAATCATATTGAAATCTATATGTTTAAGTATCATTTAGGTTTAATTTTTGTGCTAAATAACTTTTTATTTCACTGGGTGAAATCACGAGTTAATTGAAGCTAGACCACCATGGAAAACCTGGAAGCACTGGACGACCGTTTCGTCCTAGTATAGGACTCCTCAGCAGTGCGCATCCACAATCCCGCACCCCGCAAGATTCGAGTACAATACTAAAAGAAACGGCCGTCCAGTACTTCCAGGTTTCCATGGTGATCTAGCTTCAATTAACTCATGATTTCAATCAGTGAAATTTCTAAAATCTCCACAAAACCCCTTCTGATAAAATTTTTATTTATCAATTTCATCTTCCTTTTCGAGTTATACGAATCATGGTTGACTATTAGCAAATATCAAGTTTCATAGTTTATATCAATGTAATATCCAATGCTTTCAGGATTTCCATGATGGTCTAGCTTTAATTAACTCATGAATTACACTTTAGATTAGTCCGTTTATTTATCCTGACTAGGTTTTATATATTTTGTGTACCGATGTAAAATTTCATGGTTACACAATATGCTGAATTAACTGCAATTACGTATCGGAATTTCATTTGAATGAAATAAGATTTTGTGCATTAATTATAAAAAAATCTAATGATTTTGAGTTCAACCCAATGTACAATTGTACAATTGTAAATATGCACATTTGAGAAGTTTTGAATGAAAATAGTTTTCTAATTAATGTTAGTGAATGAATGAGAATAATAATGACTTCATAATGATAAATATTAGATTCTTTCTATTTTGGTGAATATTCATTTTGTTATCAGTAACGCGAGTTATACAAATCATGGTTTATAATTAGAAAATACCAAGTTTTATGGTTTATATCAATGTAATCACTATAGAAACTAATCAACCCTACATAGTGTGAAAATAATTATTTTTTTTGTATTTTCAAATCATTTCACGTACTTTCAAGAGATTTCACATTCATAAAAAATTTTGTTTTAATAATAATTTATCATAAGAATTTACTGATATTTCATTAACCTAAATGAATCACAGTAATAACCAATATTACACTTTGTCTAGTTTGAAGTTTATGAATGAACTTTGGAATGTGATCTCAGAGTTCAATTTAACTCTCTCTCTCTCTCTCTCTCTCTATATATATATATATATATATATATATATATATATATATATATATATATATATATATATATATATATATATATGGTATTTGGCAATTATATTGGCCAGTGATAACACATAAATTCTATCAGTACAGGATTATGAAGATTGTAGAGTTTTGATTGAGATGATGAATTGATCAATGCTTTTAGGTTTACAATAGCGATCTAACATTGATCGATTCTTAATTAATATAGTAAGTTATTCAGTATGAGTAGTAACATATTGACAATTCCTAAAGTCTGTATTAAAAGTCTAAACTTTGATAGTTGATTTCAAGAGAAAAATGATCAGAATGTAAACCTTCTTCAAAATTTAGATATAAAATCTAAGAGGATAATCTCACATTCCGATATATACCAGAATACTTTACAGTTCTAAAATGTTATTAGTGAATTGAAATGTTTACTGATGTTATTCGATCTTGATATTCGCATTTAGACTGAACAATCACCCAATAAAATAATAATGATGTGTTCACTAGCGGTTAATTACAAGTTAGATTTCTTGAAGTTTAAGTAAGAAGCTTTGACTTTTGAAATTAGTCGAATTGAAAATGAAACATGTATGCTAATTAACATTGAATAGTATTCGCCCTGTATTATAAATCGACTAGTGTTATAAACGTGAACTATAATATTTTATTCGAATGATCAAAAAGTATCCTTTTTGTTGTGACATTCAGAGATCGTTTGTTTAATCTCATGTGAAGTCCTATGAACTAGAATAGCTTAATTGTTCGACTCTCCAATATCCACAATGATGGTAACGTAGATATTACATAACGATAATAAAACTCTTTTATAACTAAACATTTATTGTTATCAAGAAGTAATTGAAATAATTACCAACATAACATTTTGAATAGATACACCATTTATTAAACTTAGTATTAAAGCAAAATAAGAAAAGATCATTCCAACAAAATGTTTTTTAACCCGAGTTCAAACATAATTTTTGTTTAGCTTATAAATAAAAATAAACTGGATGCCGGCTCAGTGGTCTAGTTGATTAAGCTCCTGACGCGAGACTGATAAGTCCTGGATTCGAATCTCGTGGGGTTCGGGATCGTTGATGTGCACTGCTGAGGAGTCCTATACTAGGACGAAACGGTTATCCAGTACTTCCAGTTTTTCCATGGTTGTCTATCATGATTTCAATCAGTGAAAATTCTAAAATCTCCACAAAACCCCTTCTGATATAAGTAAATAAGTAATTTCAAATCATATGATTGCGAAAATAAATCACTATTGAATTATTACGTAATAACAATCAATCAGTAGTTGTTTTTTTACATCTAATTTATTATTCAGTTCCAAGTTATGCGTTTTAATGCGAGTTATTTATTGATAGAAATAACTTCATGTAAATCACGTAATAATAAATATTTATTCTAGTCTATTTTCTTTTTATGATTTATCAATGTGACACATTTATGAAATATGTAAAAGCTTATTAGCTAATTTAATCATGTTTTATCAAATGGATTAGTAACAAATACATCATAATGATAACAATTTGATTGTCTGTTAGAGCTTTGAACAATTACACTTTATCAAAAGAGGGTGGACGGTGACGCGATTTCATGAATTTGTTGAAGTTAGAGCTGTTCAATGGTCTTGAGGTTAGGTGTTCGGGCGCGAGATTGATAGCCCCTGGGTTCAAATCCCGCGAAGTAGATAGCGGGTGCGCATTGTTTGGGAGTCCCATAGTAGAAAGAAATGGTCGTCCAATACTTTTAGGTTTTCCATGATGGTCTAGCTTTAATTAACTCATGAATTACACTTTAGATTAGTCCGTTTATTTATCCTGACTAGGTTTTATATATTTTGTGTACCGATGTAAAATTTCATGGTTACACAATATGCTGAATTAACTGCACTTACATATCGGAATTTCATTTGAATGACATTCAGATTTTGTGCATTAATTAAAGAAAAATCTAATGATTTTGAGTTCAACCCAATGTACAATTGTACAATTGTAAATATGCACATTTGAGAAGTTTTGAATGAAAATAGTTTTCTAATTAATGTTAGTGAATGAATGAGAATAATAATGACTTCATAATGATAAATATTAGATTCTTTCTATTTTGGTGAATATTCATTTTGTTATCAGAAACAGGTTTTGTGAAGTTAGATCACCATGGAATTATGGAAACACTGGTCGGCCGTTACGGTCTATCCTGAACGACGTGCATAAACGGTCCTGTCCCACGAGATTCGAACTCAGAACCTATCGTTCTCGCACGCGAACGCTTAACCTCTAGACTACTGGAATGTTCGTCATCCAACGGTGTTAATGTCTATCTTCAACTAATCTATGAAATTGAGCAACCGTCCACCATTGTCTTCATTGAGTTACTATATCACAACAGGCCCAGTTGAACTACACTGGTTACTGCTTCTCACTAGAGCCCCAGGAAATTCTTCTTGAAGCCAGTCCAGTGATCCCAGATTTTCCATGGTGGTCTAGCTTCAATTGAGTGATGAACTCAACTATTATGTTCATTTTGTATCCAATTTAACAATACTTTTTTTAAAACCTTTCAGTTCAGTGTGCAAATAACAAAGCATTATATTTTGCTGAAAGATTAAAAAAATCTATGAAAGGAATTGGAACTAATGACAGAGATTTAATTCGTATTGTAGTGTCACGTTGTGAAATTGATTTGCATTTGATTAAGAGAGAATTTTACGATCTAGCTGGTGATTCCTTAGAAGCTTGGATTAAAGTAAGTTAAAAGTAATTTATTACTGGTGACGTTATCTGAATTAAATATTTGACTTCACTTATATATATGATTGTACTTCTAATAGTCAAGGACACATTGAGTGAAACCTTGACTAAGTGCTCGATCGAATTGTTCTAATAGTGTTTACAATTTTCGACCTACCACCTGACCGTAAGATAAGATGCGAATACAGACATTTAATATGATTATATGCTAGTCCAGCTTATCAGTATCCTGTATAATATCTTATACAGTTCAATTATGTTCAGTGTATGGTCTGAAATAAATGTGTTACACTTTACGCCGACACCATTAGGAGAGTAAATTAACAGACTGAAAATCAAAGAAGTGAAAATATTAGTATTAATGATAGTGAACTATTGAACACTGAAATATATGTCAAAGCAACAAACAAAACTGGGTAATGAATTGTTTCATATATATTTGAAGTTACATTTGGTATAAATTACTTTTCAAGAATATGTGCTAATAGATATTAATATACAATAAAATTACAGAGTGTACTATTTTCAACGTCAATAGGATATAAATGGTGTCACAGTGATTCCTATCCGGTTTCAAACCTCATTTATTTGAAATAATGAGTCTATCATTTCTAGTATATATTTGCATGTGATTAGTAATGAAATTCAAGAAGTACATTTCTCCCTATTCAGGACAAATCAGCCACATATACTTGTATTTCAGTTGTGGTATTCATACTGACATTCTAATCTAGGATCTTTCACTTCTAACCCCAAAATATTATCCATTAAGCTAATAAGATCATATGTTCATTAACTTGTTCAATGAATGTAAAGTTACTAGTATAGGGGTTGTGTAGATTATTAGGTTTTTTATTGAGATCATGAACCGATTGATGTTAGACCACCACCTTTAAAAACCTGGAAGCACTGGACGGCCGTTTCGTCCCACTGTGGGACTCCTCAGCAGTGCGCATCCACGATCCCGCACCCCACGAGATTCGAACACAGGGCCTTCAGTCTCGCACACGAACGCTTAACCAACTGAACCACTGAGCCGGCATCCAATGATGATATTGTCTAACATAAACCAATCCACGAAATTGCACGACTATCTTCCATTGTACTGAGGTAGATACCTGTCTCTACCCGACATGGATTAGTTCCACTGGTCACGGCTTCTCACTAGAACTCCGAAAATTCCCTCACGAAGCTAATCACTAGTGAGCACGGCCGTCCATTGCTTCCAGGTTTCCAAAGGTGGTCTAACATCAATCGGTTCATGATCTCAATCAGAATATAAAGTTGTTAATAAGGTTTTGTCATTCCCTGTTGTTAATGTGAAAGACTGATCAACTTCTATTTCCCCTTATAAAATGGATAATATTGCTATTCTAATCCTTTTTTTATTATTATAAAATTTTTTTATTAATCTATAGGATGATACCAGCGGAGATTATCGTGAATTGTTATTATCACTTGTTCGTACAAATCTATAAATAACAAATATTGATCAGAATGAAAGTATTTGATGTTTAACATTATTACATAATATACTAGACTATTTTGCGTTACAAAATGTTATTACGTCTTAATTGATTAATTTATTTGTTTGCTGTTTTTTTTTTTAATTTTTAATATTGATTATTTTAATTTGTATAAACTTTTAATTACTATGCATGTCTAATTTGCTGGGTGTCGGGGGGGGGGGCTTTGTTCGCTTACTTCACTTTTTCTTTCTGCCTATCTTGTTACTATTTATCACTATCACACGATAAACGTCATATGAATTTCACTTCCTCGGATATTTTGATAAAAAAATTTCAAAACACATAAAACAATACACACGTACACACAACTAATGAATATATTTTTGTCCGTCTATTCCACGCTTATTCCATTGACCTTCATTTGTTATTGTTGTGTTTGTTTGTTTTTTTTCACGAATTTCATTCATGAAAATTGATCAATAAATCACTGCCATCCAACTTATACATATATACCCATTTATAAATAGTTTTAGTAATAGACCAATGAAATATTGAATGTGTTATTGACCTTGAGAAATAGTTTCCATTTGGACACTAGCACAAATCCAATATTAGTGATAATAATAACATGATGGATTAGTTGAAGTTGGACATTAACACGTTGGAGGCCGACCAGCTCTGTGGTCTAGTGGCTGATAGATCCTGGGTTCGAATCTCGCGAGACAGGATGGTGGATGAGCAATGCTGAAGAGTCCCACGATAGGACGTAACGACTATCCAATGATCTCAGGTTTCTCATGATCCAGCTTTAAGTGAATCGTGGAAATAAAATGGTCACTTAACTTTCCACATTCTTGAGCGTAAATAGCAAGAGTAGTTAACACAGTCCAGTTTACATATATATATATATATATATATATATATATATATATATATATATATATATATATATATATATATATATATATATATATATATATATATATATATATATATATATATATTTGACGGATGACCTGGAGTTGTGATAAAATCTACCATGAAAAGAAAATCCTACACATTATAACTAGATAAGATATTCATGAATGCGCTTCAATAAATAATGAGTTGTACCGTGTAGTTTATGAAGAAATCATTTTTAATATTCACTAAATATGTCTAATTCATTTCTATGAGCAAACGACTTAATTATTGATCGTATTATGGAATTAAAAGATATAATTTCGTTAGCTTCCAAAGTTTAACACATTTTGTGTAATTAGTATAGTTAATTACTTATATTTCATCAAAATATAATAGTCGAATTCGTGAGTCGATTAAAGCTAGACCACCATGGAAAGCCTGGAAGCACTAGACGGCCGTTTTGTCCTAGCATGGGACTTCCTAGTAGTGCGCATCCACGACCCCACTCGCGAGATTCGAACCCAGAACCTTCGGTCACGCGCGCCACTGTTCAACCTCTATACCACAAAGCTGGCCGGCATCTGACGGTGTTGATGTCTAACTCCAACCAATCCACGAAATTGAGCCACCGTCCACCATTGTCTTCAGTGAGTCACTGGCTCAGAACAGACGAAATGGCCGTCCAGTGCTCCCAGGTTTTCCATGGTGGTTTAGCTTGAATTGAGCTATTAAACTAGTACAATTTCCAAAAAACCTCCTTACTGTATTAAAATCTACTTAACAGTAACTTAAGCTTACTAGTTCTTCAATCAGCTTGATTGATTTCATTATCTAATCTCATCAAAATTACGCAACATTCCATAATATTGAGTACATATTAATCTCACATTATAACAGGGCACTTGAGATTTTATTAAAAAACGAACACAGTTTTTCACATGTCAGTCAATTAGATAATAGTTATTTTTTTAAACAGTAAATTTGCTAAGTACCATGTCGTAGTTTGAACAATAAAATAAATGAAATGTAATAATACATTATTTAGATTCGAAACATTACACAATAACGGTGTACAATCTTAACCTCCTCAGAACTACATTAAGATACATTAATAAATACAAAACTGAGGAGTCTCACAATAGGACGAAACGGTCGTTCAGTGCTTCTAGGTTTTCCATGATGGTTTAGCTTCATGACCTCAACCATTGAAAATACAAAACTGTTTTCAATGTGTTTCTGTAGTTTGTTGTATTGAGTTGATGAACTTCGGATATTTCTACGTTAATTAAACAATTTATAAAATAATCCATAAATTGTAAATTTAATTCATAATAGATCTAATCATATAAGATCCATGTTTAAACTGTATCGAATGTGAACTCTAATTTAAATCTTTCAATTAAATCTATTCTTATTAAAGAAGCATGGGATTGGATCATGGAATTGGTTGAAATATTCTTTAGATCAGGATACATAATGAAAAAAAACACTTTGAATCTCAACCGTTATCACATTAATCAACAGACTAGGTTTGTTTAATAAGAAGTTATTATTGATGAATTTTCCAGGGAAAATAATGTTCAAGGTTACATTCACAAATCATATGGCAAAGATAAATGTTTTCTGGATGTGTCCCTAGTAATAAAAGATGCCCACTTTTCCTTATTTATTTATTAGGTTAATTTTACATGTTCCAATTAGTTCAGAATAGATATATTACTAGTTTTGAAAATGGAATCATTTACTCTAGAATTTTTCCAAAACAAGGTCAACTACTTAGGAGTAGTATACTAGTGTTCAAGAGTAAAATACATACAATACAGACAACATACTCTTGGACGATATATCTATTAATTCTCAACGAAACCTGAATATTTTAGTAACAATTTAATGTTATGATGTAGCTTATGATTGTTCACTCCTTTGAATTAAAATCAATTGCTGACGAGGTCAGAATTAGGAAGAAATAGTTATTCAGTACTCTCCGATATTCAGTAATTTACTGATGGACATCAATCTGTGTATTTGTTTTTTACTATGGTGATAATTCTGTTATTATTTTTTACCGAAATTTACTCTTTCCAACGAGTGGATAACGTATATTTATCAATGAAAAGTACATTATATGAGTATTGAATGAGACAAATTATTTAGAATCTAATTGTTTATTTTTCGATTGAGATCATGAACCCATTGATATTAGACCACCATTATAAACCTGGAAGCACTGGACGGTCGTTTAGCCCTATTGTGGAACTCCTCAGCAGTACTCATCTAGGATCCCGCTTGTGGCATTCAAACCCTGGGCCTTCGGTCTCGTGAGTGAATTCTTAAACTCTAGACCACTAATCCCACACCTATCGGTGTTAATGTCTGACTTTAATCGATCCATGAATGGCTACGCAACCATTCTTCCGCTGTCTATGGTAGATACATGTCTCTACCCGATAGGTCCTATACTAAAACGAAGTGGTTGTCCAGTGCTTCCAGGTTTTAAAGCGTGGTTTACCTTATATCGACTCATGAATTCAACTATTAAAATTACTATATTACTATATTAATCTATTCAGAATAAATTCCGTTTATTGATTTGCACTGATTTTGCAGTATGTAGTTAATTATTTTACCAATAATGTATTTATTTTTATACTTTTTTTTCAATTTATTATGATAAAAGTCAATTATTAATGATTATTGAGTGATTGATATATAATTGAATAGGGTTAAATGTTATTTAACTCTTCTGGAATCTCTGTCAAGAAAGCTCCTATACAAAATTAAACTTATCACATTAGTTAGTGGATAGTGATCATAACTTAAACTCAGTATCCATCATTTTAAACGTCAATATATTATTCACTAAGATAATGAGTATAGGAATTCACTGGATGTCAGGTTTCAGTATGAATATCAGCTCACTGAAGTAATAGATACATTTAGATAATGAATCTAAATAGAATGAAATAAGCATCCTGAATCTTATTACAAATCACATCTTAAATAAACCATAACTTCTTCATAATGCATTTTTAAAAGAATGTTGTGAAATGTTTTTTTTCGTAAATACGCAATCGTTTGTAATATTGATGAATCAAACATTTAAACAACAAATAATTTTGGGTATCAATACCAAGGTTGGACTTGAAAGCTTCAAATAAATTGAGCATTAGGTAGAAAGTTAATAATAAAGGTATTTTTTCAATATTCCAATGAGTAGAAAAATGGTATTTCTGACGTTTCGTGACTTAATGTAAACCACTTCTTCAGAGTAAAGAAACTAATTTTGTGGTGCTTTAAAAATGACATGATATACAAATATTTGTGATTTCATCCCTTATTATTATTAGTATTATTATTATTTTGATAGTCAGATTATTTCCCTCTAAATTTCAATGGTACATTGCAACTTCATTTTGTGTCTAACGTAAATCTGCAAGATAAGAAAGTGGTAATATTACAACGTGTAAATCAAAACACTACTTAACATGAGGTTCAAAATATGGCTAACTTTATTTGGAAAAGCTTCAAAAACATACATTATTATGATTCATTTCTTTTCTGAACTCGTCAGATAGGTTGGCGAGACCACGATTTGTGGACGAACCAATCAGATTTAAGATAACCGGTCTTGGATCTTGACGCGAAATTCATTCACTCATTTGTCTAAATAGCATTTTTGCATTATAACTGATTTCAGTTGGTGATAAATACTCTAAATCTAATGCCTAACTCTAACTATCAACTAAATATCATAATCCTTATTCTTCAAAATGTTTTGTAACTCTCATTTAGCCTTAGTCAGTAGGTGAACATTCTCAAGATCACTAAGACATCATTCAAAGGTCGTTTATAAACTATAGTCTCAGTGGTGTGTCTGTACCTTAATGTTGATATTCACACGTGGACTCGAACATTACCAATTGGATCTAGGTAAATCCAGTTAATGAGTTTCAGTTAAAGAGAAACGCCTGTTTTGGATTCCATTACTATCCATAGTCCATTCATTGTATTTTATAAAACATCATTATAGTTAAAAATTCAAGGTGATACTATTTTATTGTTGTTTTCATATTGACTGTATGTTTCAGTCACATGTCAATCATTATCAGATGACTAAGAGAATTCGGTAAAAAGTATGTTGATCGTTAAATCTTTTACGAAGTTACAGTTGATAAAACTGTATCAAATCAAGTGACAGCAACTAAATAGTTTATTTTTCTTAGTTAAAATATTTGAAGCTAAATGAAGTTGTGTTTATTAACTTAGTCATATAGTTCTTGTATTTGTCAATAGCTTCATTATTTATTCCGTAATAAATCAGTATTATGCTTTTAGATTTGTAAGACAACTCTAATAAGTAGTGTTGGGTTGATACAGAAAGCCCATCGAAAAAAAAACAAGAAAAAGCTCTGAAAACGCTGAAAACCATCTTATCCGATTAGCATTCAATAGACATTTTTTATTGAGATCATGAACCGATTGATGTTAGACCACCACCTTTAAAAACCTGGAAACACTGGACGGCCGTTTCGTCCCATTGTGGGACTCCTCAGCAGTGCGCATCCACGATCACGCACCCCACGAGATTCGAACACAGGGCCTTCAGTCTCGCGCGAATGCTTAACCTACTGGACCACTGATAGTGTCTAACATAAA